CCCCCGACCTTCACCGGAGAAGCGGGAGGTGATGGCGGTGGTGGCGGTGGTGGGCGGGGCCCTGCTGGGCTAAAGGCGCCGGTGGGGTGGCTGCGGGCTCCTGAGCTGTTCGGGGAGCAGATGACGGGGTAGAGATGCTCTGCCCACCCCCACTGGGCTGCCTCCCTGGCTCTGCACCCCCTCCTCCCAGCTCGCCGGGCATGGGGAGCGCCAGAGTGGCGTGGTGGGCACCGGCCCGCTTGGGTCTCGGGCGCACCTGGGATTGCGAGCTCAGCTCTCCATCGCTGTGAAAGTCAGGTCTAAACGGGCTGGGAGGGTGAGGATGAAATCTGTGCATGTGGCACCACTGCCCACCCCCGTGCCACATGGGGAACCCGGAAACCACCCGCTCCCTCCCTGCCTTGCCCTATATTCCCAGTGTCAGCAAGTCCCAGCAGCACTTCCTGGGGAATGTCTACCCCTTTCCCACCCCCTTGGGGACCAGACCCCAGGGGCTTGAAGGACAGCCCCACCCCTCTCCCAGGCTGCAGGCCAGGGCCTGTGTGGGGGGCGCAGGGGTCCCAAGGCTACACTTAAAGCAGACCCCAGACCGCAGGCAAACTGGCACTTCCGCCTCCCAGCTCTCCTGCCTGTGGGGGTGGGGTGGGGGCGGGTGAGCTATTTTTGGAAGGAAGGGGCAGGGGAAGGGCCCTAGAACAGAAGGGCCTGTCTCTTGCCTCCCCTGGCGGACTCGCACCGGCCTTGTCCCACCGCCTGCGCCCCTGTGTTCTGTGGGCTGACATTTATGCCGCGCTGCCCCCGCTAGCCCTGAGGCTCCTCCGGCCTGGGGTCAGGCTTGCTGAGGGCAGGGGCCAGGTGGGGCGGGGGGCACACCTGGGGAGTGGCCGGGCAGTGATCAGGTTTCTGCCCCCCAGCCAAGCTGACCCCTGTCCTGGTGCAGTGGGACAGAGCCAAGCGACATGAGGCTGGAGCCCATGGACAGACGGGACCCTCACGTTGTGGCACAGGAAGAGGTGCCACCCCATCTCCCAGGTGGGCTCTGTGTCTAGCTGGCGGCTTCCCAGCCTCAGGGACCCCATTATAGCCTTCGACACTTCCCTTCACACCTCAGTTACCTTCGCTGTAAAATGGGACTTTGTAGGATTTCAGGAGGTCCAGCCTTGAAGAGGGCGCCCACCCCGGACCATTCCTCACCCTGGTGCCAGGGTAAGAGGGACGCAGCACTGACTCCTGCCCTCAGGGCCCCGCCGGGCTGCAGGC